AAAGTAAATAAATAAACATTTATTAAAAATTTAAATCAATAAATTAATAAATTTAATGCAAAAATTAATAATATATACAAAATTATTAAAAAATTATTTATTATTATATTTACTCTGTATTTATTTACGATAACTCTTTAAATATTTTTATTAAAAAATATTTATTTAAAAAATATATTTAAATATATTTAATTTTACATATTTCATTTATACGATGAGATTTTTTAATTATTAATTTTAATTTTAATTTATTTATTTTTACAAAAAATTTCATGAAATGAAATTTATGTAAACTCTTTATGTAAGAAATGATGTCACTTCACGTCTTTTACAGCATAAAAAAAAATGAGAGACTTGCTATGAGAGAAATTGGTATGAAGCTAAAGAAGATCAAAGTCAAGTTTTAAAGCACATTGCATAGGCTTAATGAAGAAGCAATTGTTGATGTTAATGAAGAAGCAATTGTTGATGTTTTTTTGTTTAAAATAAACCCGAAAATATTAAAATAACCTTGGTTCTTTACTCCATTCTGGTTCGAATCTGGTGGCCAGATTGCATTCAAGGCTATGCCCATCATGAAGACGACGAGGTAGCCCATTGGTCGTCAATAATGAGAGGCTGTCATATAGCAATAAGGCATTAACGTGGCATCGAGATGAACAAATGAATACTTACACACGGCAATAATGAACATCAATGATATATGTGGAATTGACATGGATGACGTGGTCCATTACTGGACCAAACAGATTGTGGCAGGTTAGATTGTATTGACTAATTGGTGACATAGCAAATTAGAAGCCGCTAGCTAGGGGCAAGTCGTGTATAAGACGCTGATGGTGTGAATATGAAGTAAAGGAGACGGTTAACAATAATAATGTTCCATCTTCATTTTTTCTCCTCTCACGGACTTGTCATTAATTCGACGAAATTTCAAGGTTGCTGCCGTACCTCAATGCAACCGTGCAAGTTATAGATTTTGCTTTCTTATTTAGAAAAAGTCACAAGTCTACCAAACCAAAAGAAGAGAAAATTTGAGAAAAATTTAAAATTTAATTAAGTTGATTCATTCAATCAGTGATAGGTGACATAAAATAAGTTTGGATTCAAATTACAATTTTTTTTTTCTAAAAAAAAAATAAAAATAAGAAAAGAAACGTGCATGGAAGTTGAAATGCTATAGTTTACATTGTCTTTCAACTAGATCCATATCTTTCACAAGCAAGTTGTAGTTGTAGATTCGTGGTGGATGCATGAAACGTTGAATTCTCTTAAAGCTAAGCTATTTTATATATATATATATATATATATATATAACCAAAAAAAAAAAAAGAGGGCAATTACTCGAAGTTGGAGAAAAATGGAAGTCATAATATTTGGACTAAGACGCAATTGACACATCCAGACGAGGTCTTCTCGGTCGAATTTGCCAGTATTTAATGAATTCATGACCAAGTTCAATTGCCCCAATAGTTTCCATTATTTCCAATTCTTCATCAACCCACGTAATATCATGAGGAATACTCGCTTCTTCTTCCCTCTTGTAATTGTGCTTCTGTTTCATAATTTTGTTACTTATTCTTTGTCTGTGGAATCACCCAACATCACCACAGACCAATCTTCTCTTTTTGCATTGAAATCCCATGTAACTTTTGGCCTTCAAAGCCAGTTAAAAACCAATTGGTCTACTGCTACCTCAGTTTGCAACTGGATTGGTGTAACTTGCGGATCCCGGCACCTTAGGGTCACAGCTCTGAATCTTTCAGGCATGGGTCTGGTAGGTACCATCCCACCTCACTTGGGAAATCTATCTTTCCTTTCCTTGCTCAGCATTGAGAACAATAGTTTTCATGGCTCATTACCCATCCAATTGGCTAATTTGCGTCGGTTGAAGTACATAAACTTTGGCAACAACAACATCAGTGGGGAAATCCCATCATGGTTTGATTCCCTTACTCAACTTCAAAGCTTGTTTCTATATGGTAACAACTTCACAGGCGAAATCCCATCATCTTTATGCTATTTTCCAAAGCTAGAAATCTTGAGGTTGGATAACAATAAACTACAAGGGCAGATTCCTGTCATGATTGGAAATCTTTCCTCCTTGAGGAAATTGATTTTGGATTATAACCAGCTTTCAGGTTCCATGCCTCCTTCAATCTTCAACATATCTTCATTGCAATTATTGGATCTCAGCGACAACAATCTCTCCGGGTCGATACCCCCCATTCCACTCAAAATTTTTTCGCTGCAATTCATTGACTTAACCGTTAATGCTCTCAGTGGTAAGCTCTCGTCGGATATGTTCGATAGACTTCCTAATCTTCAAGGGCTTTATTTGAATCGGAACCTGTTTTCCGGCCGAATTCCACCTAGTTTATTCAAGTGCAAAGAGTTAACAATATTGTCCTTATTTCGTAATCAATTTGAGGGAAGTTTGCCAATGGAAATTGGGAATTTGACTAAGCTTAGGATATTGCATCTCAGAGAAAACAATCTCGAAGGTAACTTAGAACACAAACTGTATATTCTTCATCCATGTTTTTCCTTCCGAAATTTATTTTCCTTTTGGTAGGAAGGAAAAAAATGAAAAAGAAAGTAAAAAGTAATTATTTAATAATTGAATTACGCAATAGCAAATGTCGTTATCTTCTACATTTACAGGTGAAATCCCATGGCAGATTGGTAATCGTCTAAATTTACAGAGGCTTATTATTAGTTGGGCTTTGTATCATTGGCTATTAAGATTTTTTTTTTTTAATGGATAACTAGCTATTAAGATTATTAAGTCAATTGATCATATAATATATTTTTCAGGTAAAATCCCTTCAAGTATTTGGAACTTGACATTTCTTTGGTTCCTTGATTTTTCCTCTAATAGCTTGTCAGGTATGTAGTATATTACGTATCTCTCTCTATATATGTTCTTTTACCCCCAAATTTCCAATTCATAGATTGATTTTCTTATAAAAGGAAGTAAACCCTTTAAAATTGTGAAAAAGACTAACATGAAATTCTATAAATAAAGTTATGAAATTCTATAAGTAAAGTTTGTGAAAGTCTTTTATTGACAATAAGTAAATAAAAATTAAAATCGAAAGTTAAAAGTGAGAATGAAAAATCTCATCACATAGATCAACAGTAACAATATTGATAAAATTTTTATCGTTGAATAAATATCGATTAAATTTGAATTATAAACACTATTTTTAATAATTTTTTATATATTATTAATTTTCACATTGAACTCTATTAATCTATTGGTTTGGATTTTTTATTAAAATTTTTATTTTTTTATTTCTAATAAAAAAATTTTACAAACTTCACCTATTTAATTTCATGTAAGTTTTGTCTTTAAAATTATTTATTTCACAAAATAAAATTAATGTGGGTCCATGACTAGTGGAAAATTACTATAACATATGATTTTAATCATTAATGGAGAAGTTAAGAGGAAAGATAAAACAAGCTTTGCTTAATTAAGGAGTAATTGCTATTTATACTAATCTTGATTGTAAAGTATCTTAATTTGAAATTTGATATTATGAGTCAAAGTGATACTAATTTCAGTTTAATTAGAGAATTGAAAAAAATTATAAAATAAAAAATATATATGTATTGAAAGTAAAGCATGGATCTGCACTTTAAAACCCTTCTACTTTCGTTTGCTCTACTTCAAAAAGTTGCATTATTAGTTATTATTTTTTCTCTTTTTTTTTATTATTGTTAAGTTAACTATAAAGGTTTTCTATTTTTTTCTCTTTTTATATTTAAAGATAAGCTATAAAGGTTTTTCTTTTTTTTTTATTCTTTAATATTTATCTAAATAATAAAATTTTTATTTTTCATGCATATAGTGGGTGTGCAGATGGCTGATTATATTTAAAACCAATTATTGAGCTAAAGTCACAAGTCGAGTGGACACAAATACTGTTTGATGAATTGAAAATTTTCAATATTGAAAATTTAAGTATTAAATTTTTAGTTTTGAAAATTTTAAGTATTGAATTGATGATATGCTAGCGAAAATTAAATGGAGACTAGATTTTTTAAATTAAATCTTTAGTATAAGAAATGTGATGTTACTAGTATTATATATTTATGAGAGAATAAATGATTAAAAATTAAGAATACAAGAATAATAATGTAATTAAATAACGTATTTTTCCTTTTATATTGGAATTGGCTGAATATATTTAGGTAGATAAAAACTAATTAAAGTTTTCAACACCTTTTTATTGAAAATATTTGGTTAAGTGGTTTCTAAAAATGATTTTTTTTTCTCATCCAAAATAAACTTTATTGATATATAGAAGAAGGTTTTGCAATCCAACACATCTCTATAGAAACAGAGTCCAACAAAATCAACCTAAGAACCCCAGCCTGCGGTGCAAAATCATTACAACGAGTTTTCACTGCATCCAAGCATGAAAAAGAATTAGAGAACTCTCCAATCCCATTTTTGCCCAAAATTACTTCCCTGTAAGTATGAACAAATATCCACCATTCCAATATCTTCTCGGATTCCTTCTAGTGCTTTCACCCAGAATAATAGTCTCAATTTAATTAAAAAAAAAAAAACTCCTCACCATCCCTGCCCTTACTTCCAAAGATCGACTCATTCCTTTCTGGCCATAAAACCCATAAGATGGCTCCACACTCCGATAGCCATCACGAGTCCACTAAATGGAGCCATGTCACATTGCTTTGGGAAAGCCTTAACATGACTAGGCGTTATCCATGTCAAACCCCACCAAGTTAAAACATGGTTTGAAACAACCTAAGGGAAGTAACAGGTAACCAATCCTCCTCCTGCTTACACCGATTACATAAACCTTGTCCTTTTTCAAAGGCATAAAGAGACAAAATTTTGGACTTTCGACGGTATATTACATTTCCAAATGGAGGTGAACCATACCAGTTGATCAAGTGATAAATTCTGGTACTCCAGGAATTTCTGAAACTGCTTGACTGAGAAAGTATTGGCCTCCTTACCATTTGAATTTTAGTACCATTTCGCGCATATTCCATGAGACAATTCTCATTTTTATCAACCACAATTGATGTCAAAATCAATCAAATTACACCATCAGCCATCATGCAAAACCATTACCCCCAAAATCCTTCAAATAAATTACCCACAACACTCGTAGAAAATCCACCACAGAATACACCTAAAAAATTTAAAAGAGAGTTAGAGAAAGTTACCCCCACAGTTTCGGCTTCTTTCACATCTCAACCTCCAATAATTGAATTCTTTTTATCACTTCTTCCTCGTCTCCAGTAAAAGTGATACCAAGTTCTTTACCCACTTTCCATATTGCTACTGTCTTCTGTCTAAGCTGTTCTTTTTCACCACCTTTACATATTACTCTATTTCGATTTTGAAAATCACCGTCTGATATAGATTCGTTTGCTATCAGATCATCTCCTTTTGACCTTCCACGTTCGGTGCCCCCTCTTCTACGATTTTTTGAAATCTTTCTCCCTTTCTTATTAATTTTGCCCATCAATCTCTTCTCTATCTCCTTATATAGCCATCATTTCTTTGCCTTAACTTTATGCTTTACGTCACTATATGCTTTACCGTCCCTTCTCTCTGTTTCTAAATCTTCTGTTTCAGCTGCAAAGGATGGCAGAGGCTCTATCACTGTATCGGGTTAGACCAAATATCCTCATTAAGGCCCAAGTTCCTAAACTTCTTGCTATATTTTTTTCATCAAAGGAAGGTCTCTATTATCCACAATTATAGGCCCAATATTGGCAGCCCCTCTATTTTCACTACTCAACATCTCAGCATTCTCCACATTACCTCTTCTATTCTCATTTAATATCCTCCTACTCGTGCCTAAGAATTGGGATTCACATTCTTTCTCATTGGTCCTCCTGGTCTCCCTATTTTTAACTTCACTGTCATCAAGAGAAATTTCGTTTCCCATACCATTTCATTGGCTCTATACAGCTGATGATTATTACCCACATTCTCTACCCTCGTTTCACCTTCATCATTTTTGTACTAGACGACACCTCTTCAACTTCCTCTTGAGTTACCTTCTTCTTGGAGTCCTTCTTGACTTTGGCCATCCTTAGGATCCATGCTCTTGGCGTATTCATGACTCGTCCATTACTTAATATTGAGTTCAACTTCTTAGACTGTTACATTATATGACTTATCACCCACCTTCAACTGGACTATACCTTACAATGTTGGATGACGAGTCTGTCATAATCTGCCTCAGACTTCTAGCAAAGGGATGTAACTTTACTGTCTTTTCGTCCATGCACATAAACTCTACCCAACAGCCAACAATATTCTAGAAAGTACACCTATTCCATGCATGGATTGAGACACCATAACAGGTAACCCAGATACTTCTGCTATTGATAGAAAATTCTTCAGACCACACTTCAATTTTCTCAAACCATTTGTTTAGACCTGCCCAATTATTCCTTATCACGCATTTGAAATAACCATAGTCATCAAATGTTACTAGGAACGAACAACTAGAGATTTTTCTAATAACATAGCCTTCTATCCCTTCATTACGTATATGATCAGATAAGCCTTCTATCCCTTCATTACGTATATGATCAGATAACACTCCCACTTCCATAAATTCTCTACTACGTCCAACGATACTTCTTTCCAGCAAGTGTAGTTTTTCCTTGTCCGCATACTTGAGCATCGCAAAGCACCTACATACACCTGGTTCTCATAATCGTTATAAATCAATCCATTCCACCTGGATAAGGAGATTCTTCCCTCTTATTCCTTTCCATCAACTCTTGGAGATAAGATCTTCAGACACTTTCATGATTACCCACGTGGCTTTCATTTTGATTTCCCATTGCATCTGCTCCTTGACTAACCTTCCCATTTACATCCTCATTCATACTTTGAGTCCCGTTATGACAATGTTTTTTACACCATCAACTCTTCTAACTCCTGCTTTACACCAAAAGGAAGCTGTAGGATTAAACCTAGCGAAATGAACTCCCATCTTGTTTTCCAGGAGCCAAATGCCATTGAGATTCCTCACAGCCCTCCTCGCTTCTCCTAAAGATGCATATCGCATAATTCCGATTCTTTTCCCACTGCCACTCCTTTACCTACATCAATCATCTTTCCAAAATCACTACATACCCTCTTCAGCCATTTCCAATGAATTTTGTCAGTAAGGTTGTTAACGAAAATTGTTACCACCTTCTTATCGTGGAAACGTGATGAGCTCGCCATAGAATGAACAAATCTAAACAAATTAATAATCAAATGCATGCATTAAAAAATTAAATTATTAAAAAAAATTAGTTTTCAATGGTTTAAAGATTTTCGATAATTTATGAAATACTCTAAAACTCTAATTACATAATTAAATAACATATAAAAATAGAGTTATATTAATCATTTGATTCTTAGTTGTATCATTTTAAATTGGTTTTTATGAAATTACAAATACAAATTATTACTATAATCAAGTATTACATCCACATATAATAGATCACTAAATAATCAAATGTATCAGTCAACAAACTAGAATAAAACTAAACAAATCCAATATGTTGAACCAAATTCACACGTAGCGATACTCACGTCAAGAAACTATCTTTTACATGAGAGAAACTGTTTTTTTTTTTTTTTTTGACCTCTTTCACAGCTAAGTGGATATGGACAAATTCTAGTAAAAATAATTTCAATTAAGTAGGAACATTTAACTAATTAAAAGAATTGAGACATATCCCATAAAGCATATTAAAAAAAACTAAAAAAATTAATTGTAAAAAATATGAAATATGTGTCAATCTTAACTCTAATTATAGAATTAAAAAACTCCATTAATAGTGCACTGCTAAAAAGAAGTGAGATATATCCCGTAGAGTATATTAAAAAATTAAAAAAATTAATTCAGAAAAAGTAAAATATGTGTCCGACTGTGGAATTAAAAAACTTTGCTGATAGTGCATCAAATAATTTCTGGGTGGTTATTCAGCTATTTAACATGTTCTTTAAAATTACTATGAATAACAAATTAATTACGGCAGGTACACTTCCAAATCAGATTGGCAACCTACAGAATCTAGAATTCATACAATTGGGAAATAATAGTTTCACTGGTGTCATCCCTCCTTCAATCTTTAACATCTCAACTGCAAGGTACATTGTTCTTGCTTTCAATCGTTTCTCAGGCCAGCTTCCATCAACTACAGGCCTTGGACTTCCGAATCTGCAAATGCTTCATCTTGGTCTAAATGAACTAAGTGGACCAATCCCGATCTCCATCTCCAATGCCACTCAGCTTATTCAACTCCATTTGTTGAATAATTCTTTTTCTGGAATCATTCCTGACACTCTTGGCAATCTAAGACATTTACAACGCCTCGACCTAAGTCATAACAATTTAAGTAGCAACCCTTCATCCCGTGAATTGAGCTTCCTCTTATCACTTACAAACTGCAAAGACTTGGACGAATTGATATTTGATGATAATCCATTGGTCAGTGGTGAACTTCCAATTTCTGTAGGAAATCTATCTGCTTCTCTAACCCTTTTCTATGGTTCTCTTTGCAACATTAAGGGCAACATCCCAAGCGAAATTGGTAACTTGAGCAACTTGGTTTGGTTAGGTTTTGACCATAACAACTTGACTGGACCAATACCTCCTACAATTGGAGGATTAAGAGATCTGCAAAATGTTAATCTTGGGAGCAATAAGCTAGAAGGATCCATTCCATCTGAGTTATGTCATCTGGAGAGGTTGGCTTTCTTGACTCTCACAGATAACAGACTATCCGGTCCAATACCAGCATGCTTAGGCGATCTCGTTTCTCTGAGAAATCTTTTCTTAGGCGTCAACAATTTTACCTCAATTCCATCAACCTTAACAAGACTTAATGGTATCTTGTTCCTAGAATTGGCTTCGAATTCTCTAAGTGGCACTCTTCCGGTTGATATTGGAAAGTGGAGTTCTGTGACAAATTTGAATTTGTCAGAGAACCAGTTCTCAGGTACTATCCCAAGCAGCATTGCTAAGCTCGCACACCTAACTCATCTCTCCATATCTGGTAATATGCTACAAGGTTCTATTCCTCAATCTTTTGATGAGTTGATAAGTTTGGAATACTTAGATTTGTCGAGAAATAACCTCTCAGGAATGATCCCCAAGTCCTTAGAGAAGCTCCCAAATCTAAAATATTTGAATGTCTCTTTCAATAGGCTACAAGGAGAAATTCCTAATGGAGGATCATTTGTGAACTACTCGAGCCAATCATTTATGGGCAATGAAGCCTTATGTGGTTCATCTCGACTTCAAGTCCCACCTTGCAAAACTGATACGGGTACTGAGCTTTTAAAATATATTCTACCAGCAATTGGCTCAGCCATATTAATATTGGCTATGATTATCATTTTTTTACGAAATAGGAAAGCTGAAGTGCCAAACACCGAAGAAAATTTGCCACCATTGCATGAGTGGAGAAGAATTTCTTACCACGAGCTCGATCAAGCTACGGATGGATTTTCTGAAAGCAAATTACTAGGGGTAGGGAGTTTTGGATCAGTATACCAAGGGACTCTCTCAAATGGGATAAGCATTGCAGTAAAAGTCTTCAATGTAAATATAGATAGAGCCCTTAGAAGCTTTGATGTTGAGTGTGAGGTCCTTCGCAAAATTCGTCACCGAAATTTGGTCAAAATCATTAGTAGTTGCTCCAATAGTGAATTTAAAGCCTTGGTACTTGAGTTCATGCCGAATGGAAGCTTGGAGAAGTGGCTATATTCTCACAACCATTTTTTGGAGGTTTCGCAAAGGTTGAACATAATGATAGACATCGCATTGGCAATGGAATATCTTCACCATGGTCATACCCCACCAGTGGTTCATTGCGATTTAAAGCCGAACAATGTCCTGCTAGATAATGATATGATTGCGCATCTGGGTGATTTTGGCATTTCCAAACTCATAAGTGAAGAGGATTTAATGACACAAACCATGACGCTAGCAACGATTGGATATATGTCACCAGGTAATGGTTTAATTTTATTATATCAATCTTTGATGATATTTCTACTCATATATGTTTATAGAACGTGCATGCCTTTAATTAGATTCATGGTCAGTAAAATTTCAAGCAATTTTTTTTATTATCGCAAAATATCAATGATGAATTTAAATTAAATCATTTATGCAGAATATGGATCAGAAGGAATTGTTTCTACTAAAGGTGATATATATAGTTTTGGTATTCTTCTCATGGAAACTTTCACGAGAAAGAAGCCAACAGATGAAATGTTTTCAGAAGAAACGAGCTTGAAGTGTTGGGTGAAAGAGTCATTACCATCAGCGGTAGTTCGTGTTGTAGACGCTAATTTGCTGAATACCACAGAAAGAAAACGCTCAGCTGCGAAGGATTGTATATTATCCATTTTGCAATTAGCTTTAGAATGTTCAGCAGAATTACCAGCAGAGAGGATTGATATGAAAGAAGTTGTCGCGAGGTTGAAGAAAATCAAAATCAAGTTCTTACAGGAAGTTCAAAAAGTTTAATCAATTAAGAGACAGAAAATGTGATTTCTGAAATTATTTTAATTAAAAGAAGACAATCTGTTGCCCGTTTTTTATTTGACTTCATGTTAAAATCGAGCATTTACAAGTTCAACTGTTTTCTTAAGTCAAGATAACGCACTAGAAAAAATAGCTGTATAATTTTGACTTTAATCGGAAAGACTTTGAGCGACGTTATAAGATATTTGAGCACATAATTTTTCATGTACAATGCAACAAGCATGAATTGGAAAATTGGAATTTACTTTTGTGAATATTGACTTTGGTCGTAAATGGCACTTTTTATCTTGTATGTGCTGGAATAATGAGCATTTGGAATTGGACATAAGAAAATATAATTAATTAATAACTTGGATTTGACCTAGTCATTATTATAATTCTTTTTCAAGAGGACCTAGATTCAAAATTGGAATTTCAATTCCTAAGGAAAAAAAAAAGATTTAATAAAATTTTAGTTGATTGAGTAACGTGGATTTGGTTTAATAGAAAACCAAAATTGCTAATAACTTCTGTCAGATAAACTCAAAAAATATAACAATATTTAAAAGAAATAATACATATTAAATCTTAAAATGAAGAATTTGGTAAATGTAGATCTAGAAATAAGTATTCAATTAGCCTTTAGGTTTCAATTAACTGAGGGTTTTTTTAGTATTTTTTACAAAATAGGCCACAAGCTAGGGATAAGGAAAGAGGTCTAGACTTATAATTATTGACATTTAAATTTTGTTAAATGTTATTTTTTAAAGATAATTATATTAACAAACTAAATTAAGTTACAACCTCAACTTTTTTAGTCAATTCAAGTAGGGTTAGTTAAGGTTGATTTTCTTGATCAACTTTTACTAATAAAATAAATTTTCTTACTTACCATTAAATTTAATTTCATGTATATATTAATTTTATATATTGTTTGTTAAAAATTTTGACATGAAAATTCTTTTCATTTATCCTTTTTTTCACTATCCTTTCTAAAATCAAAACTAATTTTATTTTTATGTGTAATTGTTTATTTCGTAAGTAGAGTATCTTGGGTTTTATATAATATTGAAGGTGAGCGAGTTGGTGTAACAAGCTTTAATGTTGATTGTTTTGTTAGGTAAAAAGTGTCCAATTAATCAAGCCAGTGAAAGTAAAATTAAACAATTGATCAAGCATATAAGAAATAATAATTTAACATAATTCGACTCAAATGACCTATATTCACAGATGAGAAAAATATCCATTAGTTGTAGAGAATTATAAATATACAATTTATATCAATTTATACTTAATAATCAATACTTATAAAACCCTTTTAATCTCTTCAAGTTCAATGAAATATTTTTAACCCAAACAAATACATACCCATATACACTCATGTATCATTACTTAGCTGAACCCTTTTAATCTCCTGTAGTCCACTCTAACATATACACTGATAAAGATGTTAATCTCTACTAGTTCTATGGGGTGTCTATCTTATAAAACCTTATAAGTCTCTTACATCTTTTTTTTTTTTTATATTTAACCCTATAGAGACTCCATTTATTTATAAATATATTCACTTGCCTATCAAGAATATTTTTTCTTTTAGAATTCTTCTTTTGCAAATCTTCTTATTCATTAACTAATATTTAGACAATTTCAAACAAATCTCTTAAGGATTTGAGTCACTATTCCCAACAATCTCCACCTTGACTCAAATTACATTAATCGTTAATCTCCATAATAGACATGCTTGGCTTCATCTACAATGAAAGTCTCATAACAATTTTTTTCTATGTATATTCACACTTCATACAAACCGATCTTCAAAACATAAACTTGAACTATTTCCTTGAATCGAACTTCTATAAGCTTGCCTCTTCTTATATCTTGAACCTTCAACTCTGATATCATTGGTTAGGATCACGATAGCTGAGATATTGCTTGTTAGGCAAAAAGCATCCAATCAACAAGCCATGGGAAGCAAAATCAAATAATAATCAAGCACACAAGAAACAACAAATTAATGTAGTTTGACCAAATCGAACTATGTCCACAGATGAGAAAAAAGATCCAATAGTTGTAAAAAATTACAAGCATATAATTCATATCAATCAACACTTAATAATTAATATTCATAAGACCCTCTTAATCTTCTCTAGTCTTACTAAGTATTCTCAATTCATATAAATATATACCTATATACACTCATGCACCATTACCTATATGGACATTCTCAATCTCCTATAGTTTATTCCAACAAATATATCCATACCTATGTGGACCCTTAAAATCTCTTATAGTCCGCTCCAATATATATACTTATAAAGACGTTAATCTCAGCTAGTCTTATGAGATGTCTATCCTATAAAACTCTACAATTCTCTTATATCTTTTTATCATATCTACCCCTATAGAGACTCTATCTATTTATAAATATACTAACATGCCTATCAAGAATCCTTTTCTTTTTAGAATTCTTTTTTGCAAATCCTTTTGTCCATCAAGTAATATCTAACCAATCCCAAACAAATTTCTTATGGCACTACAATAAATATTGCTATTAGTGGTGCATTGAATAATGTCACTAAATATTTATTTTTTGTCCTCATATATATTTCGTGATAAAAAATTAAATGCCATGACGTTCATCACGTTTGCATTGTCACTAAAGATCTAATATAACGATACTAAAATATCATCACCTATTATGAATCTATTGTGACAATAAAATCAAACATCATTTTATGCTTTTTTTTTGTGATGTTAATTTTCGTTAGGTATTTATGAAAAAAAAAAGATCATTAAAAGCTATAATAGTCACAAAATAAATGATAAAATCTGATATATTAATGATGAAAGATAAATCATGACAGTATTAATGACACATTTATCGTCATCAATGATTATAAAATAATATCAAATGTGACAATAAAATCAAATATCACCTTTTTTTTGTGACATTAGTTTTCGTTAGGTATTTATGTAAAAAAATATTGAAGGCTATAATTATCATAAAATAAATGATAAAATCTTATATATTAGTGACGAAAGATAAATCGTCACTGCATTGGTGACACAATTAACGTCACAAATGATTGTATGATACCATCAAACATGACAAAAAAAAAACATTATTGTATGCTTTTTTTTCATGACATTAGATTTCATCAATTATATATGAAAAAAAAGTCATTAAATGCTATAATCGTCACAAAATAAATGATAAAATCTAATATATTAGTGACGAAAGGTAAATCATCACAATATTAATGATACAATTAATGTCATTAAATCCTATTTATAAAAAAAAAATTGCCACAATCATTTTTGTAGAATAATCCTATTTAGTGTTCTTACAAACCTACCAAGTATTTGAATTGGTTTTTAAATGTAGTACATTCTCTAAAGTCTATCCTAAAATCATATAAAAATAATATTATTTAAAAAACAAAAAGTATCAAATTTTAATCCAAGCTTTCAATCTTGTCTTCGAATTCTTGTTTTCAAGCTCTTAATCCGAATCTTGGGATGAGAGCGATTGTGTTGATGGTGAGTTTGTGTCACTTGAAACTGCAATAAATAATTAATAGTAAACATCAAAACAAACCATAATACACACAATAAGATCAAAACAAATATAAAAAACAAACTAATTTATTTTATGCATATTAAATTTTTAAATGAGTCCCTACCCAATATTAAAGAATAGATTTTGTCAAGAAATTCTTAACAACTATGGAGCTTTTATATGATTACAAACACAAGACACCAAATAGTCAAACCTCAACCGTGGATTCAACACAACACAATAACGAGAACTTGACAAAAGTAGGTTTCAAAAATATTAAAATTTGTAATTTGTTGGTAAAGTTTATATATCCTTACCTTCACTAATTACTTGAAAATGAGAATAAGTTACCTAAAGGAAAAACAAAACTAGAATCATAATCATATTAGAACAACAGAAGCTGCTATACAACCACCCAAGCCAACAATGATCCCGTCCCATGTCTTCTTTGGACTTATATTAGTAAGTGGTGTCCTGCCAATGGCCTGCATCAGAACAGTGGAATGGACACAATCATGGTCATTGGATGATAGATATCCACCACTTAAAATACAAGGAAAAATTCATCCTCATGCCATTTAAATAGCTGTAGTTTTTGAAAATTGAAAAGCAACAAAAAAATACTAATAAAGTAATGCCAGTAGCACTGAGCAACAATGTAGCATTCAGGACATCTTAAAGTTTTTAAATAACCGAAACAAGAACTTTCTTAATCAAGGCTATATACCTTTCCACCCCAAAAAGCATATATATCTGCTGCTATTATGCTGCTGACAGAAATCAAGGTCGCCATAAGGCCTAATGTCCAATAAGCTTAGCCACTAGGAAGAAAAGGCCATCCAGCCCCAATTCCTGTCAAAAAGAAGCTACTAGGTAAAACAGTTTTGCGGAAAAAATTTTAACCAATTCCCCTTTCCTTAACCATACATACAAATGAACCAGATGCTAAAAAGAAAGATAAATGAAGTTTCACATCTAAGGAAATAAAAGCTACTTCAAGATCCATCATTTAGAAACTTCAAAATCCTTATTCAAACCACGAGTTTTTTTGCAAAAGCAGTATATAAGCTTTGGATTTAAAAAAAAAAAAATGCCATTTTCAGTTCCAACCTGAAAACTTAGCAAATATCAATGTTCACTGTTCATATTGCTTGATATTTAGATTTACTAGCAGAAAAGTGTGAAAAAATCTAAATTCTTACTGGTATTCAAGGCAGAAGCAACTAAACCACATCTGAGCTTAACCCAGAAACAATGGAGGTAGCCACAATAAAATAGCCCAAACATGGTACTATTGAGCTGAGCAAGACGAGGATTTCCTCTTTGCAAGGGCAATGCCATAGCCACAACAAATGCAACAGATGTCACTGAAACATCAATATTCCTAAAGTACCTGATAATACAGTAGAAACACTAAATAAACTAAATCAAATATTTTTAAAAAGATTTTACCAGCAAAATAGGAATTTAAAACTTTTGAAGGCAAGATGTAGCATTCCAAATAAAGACACTAAAACCAAAACATTAGTAGATAGCCTTGCGATACAATAAGAGAACTTAAGGTATCCATGGATCTTACAACGTAGGAATAGGCATGAAAGCACATATAACAGAGCAAACTCATGAGACATATCGTGGAGGAGGTGTCATTCCTACAAACTTTTTTTTAACCAGAATCATAATCATCCTATTCCATTTTTTTTTTTAGATGTTTGTATTCTTAGTATGAGCTATTGCTTGCAATGCAGGAAAACAAGCTTTCTGTTATTTGTGAAAGAGTACTTGACAGGTGCTTAGCACCATCGACTGTTACTGGTTCAAA